AAAAAGCATTAAACGATGTAAAAATTTGTACAATTTATAAATCTTTTTAAGTTTTTAATAGTAAACTTTATTTTCGTATTTTAATTCAAAAATTGCTTAAATAATGAAATAAAAAAGTTTTATAACAGGTAAAAAATAAAAGTTAAATAAAATACTGCAAGGTTAAACTTAAAAATTAAATGGTTAAACTTTTGAAAGAAGTTGGTTTGCCGATGTTATTGATAAAAGTGATAAAGTGGTGTTTTATTTAGTTTTATTTTCTATTTATATTTGAATTGAATATTTATAGCTTTAAATTGTAGTAAAAATTAAAATTAAAAGTTTAACTTTTAAATGCGAATATATTTTAGTGATTTAAAGAAATAAGGAATTTTAAAATCATAAAACAGAAATTTTAAATCAATTAATAAAATTCAACGAAGAAATAACAACATACGTGTCAATAAATAACTGTTAACTTAATAATGTTAACTTAAAAAAATGTTAGCTTAACTTAAAATTTTCTGAGTCGGTTCTTTGTTTGATTTAGGTGTGGAAAGTTTGCAGTGGTTGCAAGTTGGATAGTATATTACCATGATGTCAAAAGAGTAATGCTTCAATATAAGCATAAAAGTATTGCACAAAGATGTCCGACAAACTTTATCTCTAATAAAGTTAAAGAGTAACCTTCTCCTGATTACTTGTAATGCCATTTCTCCAAAATCCCAAATTAATTTGAAACGATCATCATTTGGATCTCTGATGACAGCTTGTCTATCATCATTAAATCTACAATCCACATCCACACTTTTTACATTTAAAGTTTTCCACCATGTTACAACGAGTTTAATAAAATCAGCAGTCTCATTTATGTTTAAGATGTTGGAGGTTTCAGGATGATTAAGTAGAGCGTTGTATGTTTTTTTCATACCACTTTTAGACAGGCAGAAACAGATTGTATTTCAATATAACTCGGTCGAACAGAAATTTCATCTAAATCAGAAAGTTTCATTATACAATTAGATTCACCTTCAAAAAGTTTTATTAAATGACTCCAACAAACTGTTTTCTCAACACTATTTTTATAAAAAATTAGTTCTCTTTTTTTTTCTTTCAATTCTTTCGGATGATTTTGGTTAATTATCACATATAATTGCCTTTGTGTAGCCATTAGACTCTCTAACTGCTTCTACAGTCAAATGAATGTGATCCTATAAAAATTGAGAATTTAGTTTGTTTGCAGGTAACATTTTCACAAGAAATTTAGGTCCACCAAACATACAAGCTATCATGACACCTAAAACAGTTTTTGCAAGAGAATCTGGGTTATCTAATGCTTTTCCAAAAAGAGCACCTGCATGATACAATAACATTTTTAACATGAAACTCATCGTGGAGAATACAAGTTTTTTCATCATCATTTAAATTATTAAAAACTTCTTTAAAATTAAAATTATCATCAGATTTTGATACTTTTAAAGTAATGCATGTCAATGTTCAAATAGAAAGTAGTTTAAAGTCATCATGCAATTTTTTATAAAGTGTACGAGAGGTAGCAAATACTCAAATGCTCTGATGATTACACTAAGACTATACTAATTTGTTTTTGTGGAATTTTCTCATTCATTACTATTTCTTTACTGTTTGGTGTCAAAAGGTTCAAATATTGCAAGATTTCTTCAAATTTAGACCATGAGTTAACAACATTAGACACAGTATGTACTTTTCTTTTCACACCATTGAAATATGATTCAAACTTTAAACAGCTATCAAGTTTAATGAGAAATTTTGGTCTTGCATAATTAATAAAGTCTGTAGATTGTACACAAAGTTTACTATCTGAAATGAAGGCTACAATTACAACAGAAAAATTGTGTTTTTTATTTAATAAGTCAAAAAAAAAATTAAAAATTATCTTGTGCTATAAATAAATCGACTTCGTCGAAAGAATTTCGACTAGAGGATAATGCATGTTTAGTTGATCTTAAAGAGGGTATAGATATTGGTATTTGACTTAAAGGAACATTGGGCCAAATTGATATTGGTTACTTAAAGTGCTTCATGATTTAAACATAATGATAGTTTAACCATTCTGACAACATTTTCTTGTGAAGTCCTAAAAAATATTCTGATTCTGACTTAATTGTAGACTCAGAAGAGTTAGATAAATACTTTAATGAATGCAATTCAAAAAGGAAAAAAAAATGACAATTTTGTAACGATTTTTTAGTCTAAGATATAATTAAATCAACATTCATTGTTGCAAAAAGATTCAATATTTCTTTAACAGGTCAGGGAGCTATAATTGCACGTATCATAAGTGCAGGCAATAGAGATTTTAAGTTTTCACTATTAGAAACAACTCCAAGAAAACATAAAAAGAATGTTCATAACGAATAAAGGAATAACAATAAAGAAATCTTTTACCTCAAAAGATAAACACTTATATCTGACTCTTCATATGAACACAAAAAAAATTACAGATATTCTTAATCATGGCAAAAATGTGGAAAGGTTAACAGTAATTGTAAGCTCCCCAGATCTTAATGAGCCCCAGCTTGTTGGAGTAATTGTAGTTTTTAATGGGTTTGTCCCAGGCTGCTGTAATAAAAAAGGTAAATGGATTTTTTTCGAAACAGTTGATAGTGTATCTTTTGATACAACTGCGACTAATACTGAATGGATTAATGGAGCAGTGTCAGTTATTGAAAGACGGAGAGGTAAACCATTATATTGGTTAGCATGTAGACACCATAATGTTGAACTTCGAGTAAAGAAATAGAAAAAGAAACAGGTAAATTTACAAACGCACCTACAAACTATAAATTTAAAACGTTACGCGATAACTGGGATAAAATGTTTGCTAAAGAATAAACAATGAGAATATGAACAAGTTTGAGTAGAAAAGTAACCGTGGAAAATTTTTTAAGAATAAGGTGAGATAAAAATATTTTGGAGATTTTAATCTGTTAAGACTGTGAAGTCATATTATTAGGAAAGGAAATAAATAACGTTAATAAAACATATTTTTTATCCACCAGGACCGACGATACGGGTTTGAAATGCGGGTGGGGAGGGGGCACAATCGTTAATTCTTAACAAAAGTCTTCTAGCTCTAGAAAAAAATTAAAAATTAAAAATAAAGGTTCTTTAGAAAAAAAGTGGGTGGGGGGGGGGGGAGCACAAGCCCCCTGACCCCCCGGTGTCGTTGGCCCGTCAACCCACAAATAATTTCTCATAATTAATTGAATAAATATTTTTTTTAGGCTCATAAAGTTTTACAGTTTTGCAGTGAAGCTTAAAAAAAAAACATGTTTCCCAAAAGTGACTTAAAGTACCTTTGTCAGTTAACAGTTGTAGACTTAGGCGAATTAATCGTAGAATTTCATTTTAAAAGACCTTTTAAAATGAAGTTAGAAAAATATCTTGTTAAATCAATTTATAATCTTGTACTTTGCCTTCTTAGTCCACAGCTTGATTATGCAAACAAAATATTACGTTTTATTGTTTTTGCTGAGTTAGTTGGTGTTGTTTATACTTTTTGGTTTCTACATGTATAATTCCTGAGATGGATTTACAAGCAATCAGAGATATGGAAAAATATAAAACAGTTTTTAAGAGCAGTACAAAAATCCAATTACCTCTAATCTGTCATTACTTGTAGGTGGCATAAGTTGGTTAGTTTTTGAAAACCTTGGATTTACAAAGAACAATATTGAGTGGTGTCAGGTTAGGGGTAAAAAATGGGGAAAATGTAGCTCTGACAGAAGATTTAAAGACTGGCTTTATAAACTACATGTATAAAAATGATTCTGTCAAAAGAGCACTTAAGCTTATTCAAGATTACTTGAAATGTAATGAAGCGGTGAAGCAAGATAGTCTTCCGTCTATAGCAAAGCATAGAGCAAAACATTCAGTTTGTACCAAAAACAATTTGATTAATTTTTGAAACTACATTTTAAGTAACCATGTTGTATAATATTAAATACTGATCGATTATGTTGTTGAGTTTGTACTTGTGATTCGAATGTTGCGTTCTATTTAAGCGAAAACTCACTTTTTATTTTGCTTTTAATAAAAAAAAGCAACAATTGAAAAATCTATTTAAAAAATTACCATAATGTATTGATGGCATTTTCTGAAAATTTTGTGTCATTGCGTAAATTGATTAAAATAAATGCGTTAGCTAAGTAAGCGTTATGCAAAATAAGGAAATTACAAGATAAGTCTAAAATTTCAATAAACTAGAGGAGCTAGTAAACAAATTTTTAAATAAAAACGAATATAATTTTCTCTCTGTACTCATCAAAACACACTAGAAATCAAATGACAACTTTCGAAAATCACAAATTTTGCGGAAATGGCGGGGGCTAGTGTACACCTACCAATTTATTGGATATAAGTTCATGTATATTAAATACATAACATTTACTAATACTAAATATATTTGTTTTTATTGTCCTTCTTTTATATTTTTCGCTACATTTTTTTTAACTTCTTAACCCAATATAAAAAAAATTTCACAACAAACAAACTCCTTGTATAAAAATATGCTGACAATTGAATGACAATTTTAGAACATTTATTTCAATAAAATCTCAAAATGAAAAAAAAGAGTTTTAATGTACTCTACTCTTTTTACTTCTTTGATTGATGAAATTTAGTTTTCAATTTGTATTATATTTTTCTGTTGAACCGATGTTGTCATTTATTACAGTCCTAAACTTCTACTTTTGAAAAAGTTTGTCTTAGGGCTTAATTAATGATGCTTTTAACATAGGACCAACAAACTGAAAAGCAACTGATTAACATAAGACCAAAATGTGCTTGAACAAAAAATGAAGAAATTATTTTTTCATCTTCTCTTTATTTCTATAAATTTTATTTGTTACGGATAATGTTTTTTTTTTTAAACTCAAGTTTAACGCACAAAATATAAAACATAAACTATTAAAAACGCGTAGCGCACTTGCAACTTGCTTGTAAATTATAAAAACTCGTCAAACTGAGATAAACAATACCTTTTAAGATTTTTGAAGCACGATTCACAAAAACGATGACCACACTCTCCAATTTGAATCGGTTGACGTAATGCCAAGAAACAAATTGGGCATTTAAGATCACTAGGAAGAGAATTTACAAACTTTTCGTCATACCCACCAATATGATCATCATCATATTCAACCACAATAGACTGGTTCTTCGTGTTTTTTTTTTTGTCTTGACTCAATTCAAGCTGTAATTCAGATTGAGGAGAACATTCAATATTGCAAGAAGCATCCATCGCTAAATAGTTTAATTTCTTAACTTAAGTTTTTTATGTTAAGAAACTTTTTATTATAAATAGATTAACAACAACTTTTGAATTTATCTTTTGTTTGACAACTTTAAATGAATTTTCTATAGCTGAATTTTTTCGAATAAAATATTTTAATCCTTTGTGAATAGAATCAAAACAAAATTTAAGGACAAATCTAAAATATGCGATAAAAAAACAGTTTAAAAAATTTCAAAGTTTTACAAACTAATTTTAATTTAAAGCTGTAAAAATCAAAATTTAAAAAAAGAACTTTTAATCTATAAAGCAGCATATAAAACAAGTAAGAAAAAAACACTTTGCAAACAGAACAAAATACGGATAAACTGACATAGATGCGTTTAAACAACTAATTATTTTAAGTTGCATTTAAAGTTGTATATATATATATATATATATATATATATATATATATATATATATATATATATATATATATATATATATATATATATATATATATATATATATATATATATACATATATATATATATATATATATATATATATATATATATATATATATATATATATATATATATATATATATATATATGTATATATATATATATATATATATACATATATATATACATATAATATATATATATGTATATATATATATATATATATATATATATATATATATATATATATATATATATATATATATATATATATATATATATATATATATCAGATGGGATTAGCTAAACTAAAGCTAAAACCAATTACAACTTCAGGCAACATAATTTCTAATATCTGTCGGAGGACCAAAAAAAGAACATAATTTCTAATATCTGTCGGAGGACAACAAGAGATTCTTTATCTTGTGGTCCTCCGACAATTCTCAATATTAATCAGATATTGTATAATACAAGACCACAACTTATAAAACTTGTTTTCTAAAAAAAAAATATAAACGATAAACTTGATCCAATTTTTATCGAGACAACATTACTAAAATTGTTTTTTATTTTCAAAATTTTACACACTTTTTCTTTAAACTATTTCATGTATATAATCTTTTTACTGTTCTTAATTCAAGTTAATATAAATTAAGAACAAAAGCGGGCTAAAAATTGACCATGTAAAACTCATTAAACTTTTATTTATCGCAATTCTCTATTAATAACGTATGTTTTTATTTTTTCAGTGAGATCTTTTTTTTTTTTTTTTCAGTGAAAAATTTTTGTTTAATTATAGGTTTTATTTATTAGACTGTACACTTTTTTATTAGATCCTATTTTTTTGCTTTTGCTGATTAAATGATTTTGAGTCTATTAATAATCCAATAAGTAAGTTATTATAATAAGTAACCAAGAAGTGAGTAATATAAACCAATGCTAATAACACATAACCCAAACTGTTTAGTGTAAAAAAGTTCTTAATAGTACAATGGTGATAAACTCTATTACAAATTACACGTTTCAAATTTTTTGAGAATACAAAAGTAATGATATAGGTTTACAGATAGATATCTGCTCAATTGATCACGTTTGCCAGCTATAGGGCTTCAGAGAAAATCTTTCTTTTTATTGAAATATAGATCAAATGTCAGCAAATGGTGTTTTTGCTTGAAATAATTATATTACGAGAAAGGTCATTAAAAACCAGATTTTTTCCTTTTTAAAAAAGAAAAAACGGCTTTATATTCCTTAAGAGTAAAGTCTCTATCCTCCAGTAAAGATCAGTTTATGATTATAAGGTATATTTAAATAAATTTGTTGTTGTTATAACTTTTTTGCTAGATTTTGGCAGACATTTGTAAAGCAATTATTCAATTCTGTTGAGGTTTGTAGGGTAGGGAATCGATTTGTATTATTCAAGAATAAACATATAAAAACTTATATATAAATAAATAATTTGATTAATTATCTTGAGTCATTAAACTTTGCATACTTCCAGATTAACTTTTGTTGGAACTTAGGAACAATAAGTTTATCATAAATCCCTAAGCATAAAAACCGTTTATAAATTATTGTTGAGCAAACCACTATTTTCTAATTTTTCTAATAATGTTACAACAATCTTTGTTAATAAAAATATATGTTAACTTTTAGCATTTTAAATACAATTACAGCATTTACAGTAGCAGTATTTTTATACTTGTATTCATAAAACCTAAAAAAAATTGTTTGTTTGCGATTATTATTTAAAACTCAAAATCTTGACACTCTCTCAATTTTTATTTAAAAGTTTTTGATTTAAAAAGTCAATTTTTTTATAAAAATTTTTTTTGATGAAAAACTTGTTTGTCATTGCTCTTTTTAGAAAGTTTCAGTTGAAGTTAATTTTACTTACTTTACTTAAACTGGTTTTTTCAGTTGGTTGAGATAAGATTGAAACCAAGAAAATAATCTAAAAAGGTCTTTTTCCCACAATGAGAGTTATGTTAATAATTTCACGGTCAAATTTGTATCTAATATGCATAGAAAAATAACATTTTTACATTATAATAATATTTACTTTCAAATTGGTACTTCTGAATTTATCTCCTATCGGTCCTAAAGTAACTAGGTACTTTCAGATCTCTAGGAAAACGAGTTCAAGTTTAAACTCCTTTTTCGTTCATTGGCCCATTATAATAGTTCTCAGAGCCGCCGAGAGAGGCAGTTTGTCCCGGGCGGCAGATATCCAAAGGGCGCCAAATGAAAAGAAAGTACCCATAAAAAAAAAAGGTTATTCTTCTATAATATAGGGAAATTTTGATAAATAAGGGCGCCATTCAGGGTTGCTGTCATATGCGGCATGACGGCTCTCGGCGGCCCTTATAGTAGTATAAGTATTTTCTAATTTTTTGTGACCCAATTTTTTAGTGAAAGCATTTAGTTATTGCTTATTTTGATTTAATCTTAGTTCAAGATAACAAAATAATTACCTAATGTTGATATGTTTGAAGTCAGAAACAAAGGTCAACTTAAACTGGGTGAGTTAAAGGAGTAAAAAAACTTTCTACTTTTCTCTCAAGTTTATATTTTTTGAAATCACTAAACTTATTCAAATAACGTGACCGGTTCGTAACATTAATAAAGGTTTTCTTCTATATAGCGGATCCTCCGTTTTAAATAACCTCACGTACAAAAAACAATTCTGTTAGTTGGATTCATAAGACATGGAGGTTTTAATCAATTATTTATTTGCAAGGATGAAAAACACCAGGACCAACTATATGAGCATTTTGAGCAAAATGAATTTTTTCATAATAACGGAATTTTTTCAATATCTTCGTAAATTATAAAAGACTAAATTTTAAATAACTTCAAGTACTCTTACCTGTACAGCAAACTGCAAAATTGCAGTTGTCATTTTCTTTCTTCATTCTTCCAAACTTTTTAACTTCAAATTAACTCAGTCAATACAGATTTACTATGTCTGATTTGATGTTGGCCACAGATGCCAATAAATCATACCCACTTAATTTATGTGATGACAAAAATGTGTGTCTGTGGTATTTTTACATAGTTACGTATAGTCTACATGTGTCTATTAAACTTTTACCACTTAAGTAATATAAACACCATAATATAACATATGACATGTAACACGCACATCAATTTTCTTTTCGGTTTGCTATGCCACGCCCATTAATTTCAGTTGAATTAAAATTTATGTTTAAAGTGAATTTTGGGTCGACAGTTAAACCAATTAAATGTCTTAAAAAATTGAAATTCTTGTTTATATTCAAAAGAAAATCAGATCAGTACCTTATTTTCTAAATAAAATTTTGCTCTTTGCTGCCACATTTTAAATAGAACATTTTTGTTTAGTATTTTCTTATTTAATCAAGCTATTAAATAACTGATGTAGCTTATTGAGACTAATTTACGATTAGTCTTCGGGATCTTAAAGGATCTTCTAGGGATTAAAATTCTTATTTATACTTCCTTCCTTCTGCTATTTAATATAAATTCTTATCTTCCTTCTGCTATTTAATATAAATTCTTATCTTCCTTCTGCTATTTAATATAAATTCTTATCTTCCTTCTGCTATTTAATATAAATTCTTATTTTCCTTCTGCTATTTAATGTAAATTCTTATCTTCCTTCTGCTATTTAATATAAATTCTTATCTTCCTTCTGCTATTTAATATAAATTCTTATCTTCCTTCTGCTATTTAATATAAATTCTTATCTTCCTTCTGCTATTTAATATAAATTCTTTTCTTCCTTCTGCTATTTAATATAAATTCTTATCTTCGTTCTGCTATTTAATATAAATTCTTATCTTCCTTCTGCTATTTAATATAAATTCTTATCTTCCTTCTGCTATTTAATATAAATTCTTATCTTCCTTCTGCTATTTAAGTTAGCAGAAGAGTAGTAGCATTTTGTTTGGTCCTAATAAAACATACTCATTGAGACAAAAAACAAAACAAAACAAAAACAATAAGGTGTTAAATATAAAATAAGTTTATATATAAGTAATAATAAACTTATGTGAACCCAGATTGTTATTTTAGTTCAGTTTTAAAGCAAAACAATATATTTTTAAATATATTTTGTATTTTAGCATATTCAATGTTACCGGCAACATATTCAATCTTACCCCGGAAATAAGGTAACTTTGAATATCTTTTTGAATAACTAAATAAATATTACACCGTACTCTTTCATTTAAAATTTGTTTTATAATTACATGGAAGAGTCTACCATAGTCCTAATATGCATTTTATAAAATTGAAAGTATTGTAAATAATGAAGGAAGGGCATTAACAAGTATCTCAAAAACGTTCAAAGTATTTACGTACAAAAGGTTAGGGTAATAAAATAAACTGGACTTAGAAAAATAAAATAATTAAAAACATTTTTTTTCTTGGGTGTCATGATAACTTGCTACTAATAATTTTTTCTATTAATTCCAAAACAATTTTGTTTAATACTTACACCCATTATATTAAAAAGTGTATAAATTACAAAAACGCCTGCTGTAAACGGTAGTTGTATTGAGGATTAATCCGAATTCTATCTCTTATTTAACAAAGTCCACAATGCAGCTGATTATTCTTCTGAAAAAGATTGAGTAGCATGGTAAATCTTAACCCAAA